CCTCACCTATCAGTATTTAAACGGGGGTTTCTGAATGCTTGCTGTTAAGATCTGCCCTGAACTCAAACCATTTCTCAAACCTCCGCAGCTGAAGAGGCGCCTCTCATACAGAAGCGCAGCGGGGTGCGGTGGGGGGCAGGGTACAGCCCAGAGAAGCTGTGCGAACACATTCAGATAATTCTTTACATTTAAACCTAAACGTCTGAAAGTACCCCTTCGGATAAACAGCAACGTGGTCCGGTGTTCAGGAGTCTAAACTACTTTTTAAAGTGAACTGAACCACTCTCCCCAGTTACTTGGGGTCAAGCGGCGCCCGTGGGCACAGGGTGGGAAGGGGACACCAGCGCCAACAGAACTCGGGGTGCGGAGCCCCCCAACTCCCCGCCGGCCGCCTCCCTCCCCAACTCCGGTCTCCCCAAGTGAAGTCCCCAGGGTCAGGCCCCTCCCGCAGGTCAGGCCCATCCCCCACGGCCCCCTCCCGGCCCCCACGCGCCCCCGTGCCCTCAGCTCCCACCGCGGCCCCTCAGCCCAGGGTCCACCTTAGTTGCCAACCCCGTCAGCCCCTCCTCCCCCGGAGGAGCCCCGGTCCCCCGTCTCCTCACCGGGATTAGCAGTTGTAGCCGCCATGGCCGTAGGTGCCACCGCCGTCCCGCCACCCCCCTCCGGTGGGAGGAGCCACTGACACCGAGCGGGGCGGGAGGGGGGAGCAGGGGGGAAGAGCCACTCCCCGACGCGGCACCCTACGGCCGCCACCGCTACCGCGGAACCCAAGATGGCGGCCACAACAACCCCCACCGTCCCCAGACCCGACGGCGGGGAGGCCCCGCCCACATGGGGGCGGAGTCACCGCCGGGGCCCGCCTCCTCGGGGAAACTGGCCAATGGGAACGTCAAGTCGGCCACTGGCAGGGCTGGCCGCGGAACCAGCCGGTCCAGTGGAGGGAGGGAGGGCGAGGAAGGAGTCAGCTGTCTTCCTAATCCCACCTCTTGGGCGTCAGAGGTCAGCGATGAGAAACGTCAGTGAAAAACAATTTTACTAACATGCTTCGCTCGGTGGTGGATTCGCCCAGCTGGCCACTCTGCAGACGATTGGTTTTTGTGAAGTCCGCGCTAGGCGCTCTAAATGCCTACATTTCATGTGGTGATCTGTAATAGTTTCTATAGTTTTTCCCCTTTTAAAGACTTTTGTCCCTGGTGAAAAAAAAATCAGTAACTAATTTTCAAATGTCTGCTATGGTACTGGTTAGTGCAGGAGGATCTGGGCACTCACGGTGTAATAAGGGAGATGCCGAAAGTCAAAAAACAGAAGGCAAGAAGGTATTTTGACTGAGTGGGGAGAACTTTCTTTGGTCAAAGATGGGGATACAGTGACGGGATTTTAGTAGGGAAGTGATAAAATGAGGACTGCAGAGATTTATTTTCTAATAGGAAACGTGGAGTACTTCGGGCCAGACACTGACTAAAACTGCTTTATATGTATTTATTCACTTAACCCTCCCAACAAACTGTGAGGTCGATTCTATTACTGTATTATTTCCATTTTGGAGATAATGAAACAGCAGCAAAGCGGGTTGCAGGCAAGATCCCCAGTGTGGGGCGTGCAGGAGGTAGCTGATCAATATTTTCTCATCCTGGATGCTTCTCTCTCTCTCCCTCTCCCTTTCTCTCTGAAATTAATAAAAATATGTGTTTTAAAAAATTACTTCAAACAACTTGAACTTTAAACAACAAACAACTTTTTGTAAAAGTATGTTCTAAATATTGCACAGGACATATTTATACTAAAAAAGGTATTTATCTTTTATCTGGAAACCCTACTCCTGGCAGCTAAAATTATTTTTTTTATATATTTTTTTTATTTTATTTTTTAAGGCATTTTTATTTTTATTTTATTTTTTTAAAATATATTTTATTGATTTTTTTTTGCCCCCCTCCCTCCCTCCCACACATCCCCTCCCTCCCCAGAGTTTTATGTCCATTGGTTGTACTTATATGCATGTATAAAAGTCCTTCGGTTGATCTATTATCTCCCCCAGATCTTCCTCCCCTCCCCGCTGTAATTTGACAGTCTACTTGTTGATATACTGTCTCTATATCTATCTTTTGGTTCATCAGTTTATAATGCTCTTGATTATCCACAAATGAGTGAGGTCATGAGGTGTTTCTTTTTCATTGATTGGCTTATTTCACTCAGCATGATGTTCTCCAATTCTATCCAGGTTGTTGCAAATGATGAGAATTCCTTCTTTTTATGGCAGCATAGTATTCCATTGTGTAGATCAGTGTTTTTCAACCTTTTTTGGGCAAAGGCACACTTGTTTCATGAAAAAAATCACGAGGCACACCACCATTAGAAAATGTTAAAAAATTTAACTCTGTGCCTATATTGACTATATATAAAGTAATTCTCTTGAATAGGAATCAAATAAACACAAAGAAAGTATTTTATAATTACTTTATTATGAAATATTAAGTAAACAAAATAGTGAAAAATTATAAAATTCTTGTCTTGTCTGCACCTACGGCACACCGGGCAACACTAGTGTGCCGCGGAACAGCAGTTGAAAAACGCTGGTGTAGATGTACCATAGTTTTTGGATCCAATCATCTGCTGACGGGCACCTAGGCTGTTTCCAAATTCTAGCTATTGTAGATTGTGCTGCTATGAACATAGGGGTGCATATATCCTTTCTGATTGGTGTTTCTAGTTTCTTGGGCTATATTCCTAGAAGTGGGATTACTGGGTCAAATGGGAGTTCCATTTTCAGTTTTTTGAGGAAGCTCCACACTGTTCTCCACAGTGGTTGCACCAGTCTGCATTCCCACCAGCAGTGCAAGAGGGTTCCTTTCTCTCCGCAACCTCACCAACACTTGTCGTTTGTTGATTTGTTGATGTTGGCCATTCTGACAGGTGTGAGATGGTACCGCATTGTTGTTTTGATTTGCATCTCTCAGACAATTAGTGACTTTGAGCATGTTTTCATGTGCCTTTTGGCCTTCCTTCTGTCTTCTTTTGAAAATGTTCTATTTAGGTCCATTGCCCATTTTTTAATTGGATTATTTATCTTCCTTTTATTTAGTTGTAAGCTGTTTGTAGATGTTGGAGATTAAACCTTTATCAGTGGTATCATTTGCAAATATGTTCTCCCACACTGTGGGCTTTCTTGTTGTTTTGTTGATGGTTTCTTTTGCTGTAAAAAAGCTTTTTATTTTGATGTAGTCCCATTTGTTTATTTTCTCTTTAGCTTCCATTGCCCTAGGGGTAGTATCAGTGAAGAAGTTCTTTTGGCATACGTCTGAGATTTTGCCTGGCAGCTAAAATTATAAAGAACACTGATCCAGGTTATTTTGGGAAGATGAGAGACTAGAAGCAGGAAATCCATTTGGGTAAATAGCTACTGCAAAAATTCAGGGGAGGAATTTCAAGGACTAGACACAGCTCAACGATACTGAAAAGGAAATGATTGCCATAAATACTATTGTGACAATACCAAGAAGGCCTTCTATGTAATTGTATATGGAATAAAAGAAAGCTGTGATATCCAAGAAAGCTTTTGGATGATATCAATAACAAGATGCTAACTAGAAGTTCAGATTTGTTCAGTTGGTGGGACAGCCAAGCAAAAATGCTTATTCATCGTATAAAATTGTAGTCTAAACAGTGCATCATTTGCAAGAGACTAGTAGTTGCAGAGAATGAAATCACCAAAGTTAAAGGAAATAAGAAAAAGGACACAAAGGATGCCTCAAAAATACTTGTTTCGGGTTAAGGAAGAAGGGAGAGGCAACCTGGAAAGAGCAGGGCAGTAGAAGCCAAAGGAGATTCAAGATAAAAGAGTTTAAGCAATAGCACCATATGTTCAGAGAAGAGAACAGCAAATCAAAAGGAGAGTAAGGGAGGAGAAACCATAGTTCCAGTGAGTGATAAGTGAATAGCTAGTGAGTAAATAGAGGCAGGTAGATAGCATACACCACTCTTTCAAGAAATACGGAGAGAGAAAGTGATCAAATGGTAGCAGGGGTGGAGAATAGGGTAGGGGTGGGAATAGAAAAAATATGTCTATAGACTGAGGAGCAAATAAGAAATGCAAGAAAATATATGTGCACAAGAAAAGAAGTGAGCATGGCCCTAGGGAAGACAAGGAGATAGGTTAGGGCTGTGAAAGTATTTCTCGCTCTCTCTTCAATCAATCAATAAAAATAAAATAATTTTAAAAATTAAAGCTGGAGAAAGCCACCAGACAGTTAACAGTGTATCTCTGGAGAGTGTCATTAATAGAAGATCTAACTGTTGGTATGTATTTCTGTAATGTTTGGATGTGATATGATTTTATATTACATTTAGAATTATAAAAAAAGATGTAATTTTGTTTTAAGGTCCATCACTAAATAAATGATAACTATTATAATAAGCCCAAGTCTGATTTTGTTTCAGGCTTTAGTTTTTTCTATCCTGGAAAGAAAGAAGTATGACGCTTACCTTCCCTCAGCTTTTCCACACAATTTCATATGGTCAAGATCAAGAGAGATTTGGAAACTGAAAATATTTTTAAATTATTATATTTAGTGTTATTTCAAAAAATAAGAGTTTGTGGGCTGGAACCATACTTTATTCTCCATTCTGTCCCCAGCATCTAGCACAGAGACTGACACATGGTGGACAATCAGTAAATATTTATTGAATATAGCACATCTTTCAGGAGTGTTATTTTTTAAAGTGTGATATTTTGAAAATGTATCTACTTGAAAAAAGAAATTCTGAGTAGACAATATACACATGGTAGTATATAAGCCACTCAATTTCTCATCTTGAAGCCCTGGAGTATGTCCCTCCATAAGTATTCTGTATATTTATGAGAGTGTGTACACACTCACACACATACACACACACACACACACACACACACACACCCTATTGAAGTTTTTATAATGAACCAAATAAAACCTTAGAGGAAACAATAGTAAATTTTGCCTTCAAGTATATATAAACGTGTATAATAACTAAAGCTCGATGAAATCGTTTTGACTTTTCTGATCCAGATGTCCTAAGTCAATTCTTTTTTGAGGAAAAGGAGACATTTTGGAGCGTCACTGACCTTGCTGACAAGTAGTTCTCAAACTTGAGTGTACATCACCATCACCTGGATGAATTGGCTAAAACACTGATGCCAACCTGTCCAGAGTTTCTGATTCACTGAGGTTGGGATGAGGGCCCAAGCGTGTGCATTTCTAACAATTTTCCAGGCATGATGCCAATCCAGAGAGTGACTGAACAGACCAAATAGCTGGCATCTTCTCCCACTCATGTGATCCTGCTTAGAAGGTATCATTGGAGCCATTAACCTTGGCTGCCCCCGCCCTGGCAGAGATGTGGAAATATTCTTCTACTGATCTAGGCTCCAATTTAATCTGGTGGGATCATTTTCTCACTCGCTGTGGGAGTGTCTGAAACTTGATCCTGTTTGAGCTGAACTATTAATGAAGCCTCGGAGTGTGGAGTGGGGAAGGGAGAGCACTACGAAACACTCTCCTTCTGTGAGAGCGGGTTGACAAGAAGAGGAGAGGCTGCCAAGAGATGGACTTGAGTAGGAGAAGACTGCACTAAGCGACAGTCAGCCTTGAATGTCATTCTCTCTGAAGGTAAATAACTACCTGTAGCACCTTCCTGGTGATGTTTTTACCAGAACCATTCCAACAATTCTTCTAGATTTAATAGTACATTTAAGCTTGGGAAATACCTAACAGAAATAAAGAACTTTTTTTTTCTTCGAGTTTGTTTTTTGGGATTTTTTGGGGGGTGGTGAGAGGAAAAGTGAAACTTTCATTTGAGAGGAGATATCTCTTGTTTTTGAGGCAAGTGAGGGGGAGGGGAGGGCTTTTATTGGTCCTATTAGCCAGAGGATGTCTTTGACTTGGAGATTATAGTAAGAAAGTGTCATTATTGTACTTCTTGATCATCATCTCTCCCTTCAAACTAAAGTTATGGCCAGGAGAGAAAAGCTGGGTCTTTTTTTTTTTTTTTTTAAGTTTTTTGTTTTAAGAAACAATATATATCACAGATGGAGAAAAAGTTATTTGGGACGAGAACACAAGGAAGAAGTGATCAATCTTTCTGGGAAGTGTTAGGTGATAGAAGAGCTGACTTTGCTGGCTCTCAAGGCTCATTATGCTTTTACCTCAAGCAATAAAAGTATATCTAGATGAATAACCTTTAGTTTGCATGGGTCTTATATTCTGTATTGGGAACTACATATAATTAAACAGGAATCTCTCTCTCTTTTGAAAGTATGTCTTTAAATTGGTTTTAGAGAGAGGAAAGTAGAGGGAGAGAGAGATAGAAACATTGATCACTGCTCCCTGCATGCTCCTACTGGGGATCGAGTCTGCAGCCTTGCATGTGACCTGACCTGGAATCAAACCAGCGACCTCTCGGTGCATGGGCCGATATTGAACCAACTGAGCCACATTGGCTGGGCAAGGAGTAACTCTTGATGTCCCATACCTTAGAACTCAGGGGAGTGGATCAAAGAACACATTGTCTCACAGGCTATATATTGCCTGAATCTCTTATCTCCTCTGACTAAAGGCAAACCCAGGAATCTAGACTGTCTCCTGTGAGGTGAATTTTTCACCAGGAAAGTCTCTGCTTGGAGATAAGACAGATGGCTGGAAGGCTGATTCCTAATCATCTTAAAAACTGGCTTTGACAGGGAAATTCAACCACTCTTGTCATGAATCTCAAAGATTCCTCAAATTGGAATCTTTCTTCAAGTCATATCATACACTGGATGTCTATTACATTCTTGCACCCAGTGAACTGAAACCCAGGAGCTCCAGACCATCTTAGCTTTTCTTTGCTGTTAATGTTAGATACTTTCAATAGTGCACAACTGTGACATATAAAGAGTGTGCTCCACTGAATAAAAAACTCAAATGGCATTAACTTACAGACACTCCATAGCAAGAGAAAAGGTGAAAAAAATGAGGAACATAGTAAACCTAAGAGGATAATAATAGCAAACACTTGCATAGCAGATGGTACCGTGTTTCCCCGAAAATAAGACATCCCCTGAAAATAAGATCTAGTGCAACTTTGGGAGAAAAAATTAATATAAGACACTGTCTTATTTTCGGGGAAACAGGGATTATGCCAGGCACTGTTCTGTGTGTTCTACATGCATTTATTTAATATCAACATCTACCTCATAGGATTATTATATATTAGGTCTAGTAATAATTAATGTCGTTTTCTAATACTTTAAATCGAATTTATTTAAACAATACAACAAAATTTAATCAACAATATAGTTGCCATTGTTTTCTACTACTTGTGCCCAACGCTCAGGAAGCACTTTAATCCCTCTGTTGTAAAATTCTTGTGATTTTGATGCAAAAAATTCGGTCAATGCATTTTTGAGGCATTCTTCATTATTAAATTTTTTTCCAAGAAGAAAGTTTTGCAAAGAACGAAACAAATGGTAATCGGAAGGGGCAATATCAGGAGAATATGCAGGTTGAGGGAGAACTTTCCATTCCAACTGGCGCAGTTTTTCAGCAGTGATTCTTGCAGTATGCGGTCGTGCATTATCGTGGTGAAGAATTACGCCCTTCCGATTAATCAGCGCGGGTTCTTTTTCTCTTAAAGCTTGGGCTAACCTTTCCAATTGGGCACTATACACTGCACTTGTAATGGTTTGGGTAGATGGTAAAAGTTCATAATGAAGAATTTCTTTAAAATTCCACCAAACACACAACATCACTTTTTTCGCATGCAAGTCAGGTTTTGGCGTGGGCTGCGGAGCCTCATTTTTGTCCAACCATTGAGGCCGCCTTTTCAAATTAACATACAGCACCCATTTTTCATGTCCGGTAACAATTTGCTCTAAAAACGGTAAACGATTTTGACAAGAGAGGAGCGAACTGCAAATTGTGACTCTTTGATTACGGTTGTTGTCGGTCAACTCATGAGGAACCCATTTTCCAAACTTTTGGACTTTGCCAAGTGCACGCAATTGATTGGAAATTGTTTTTTGTGAACAATTTAAAGTTGTCGCAAGCTCTTGTTGGGTAAATTAAGGATTTTGCACCAGAAGAGCTTGAAGAGCTTCTTGATCAAAATTGGACACACGGCCTCGACCACTCTTGTCATCTAACGAAAAATTTCCCTCGCGAAATTTCTCAAACCAACGCTGGCATTTTCTGGCACTAACTGCATCTTGACCAAGAGCACTACAGATGTTTTTTGCAGCCTCACTTGCTTTTCTTCCTAATTGGAACTCGTAAAGCATGCAGTGCCGAATATGCTCTTCATCCGCCATCTTCTTAGCCCTAGTTTTGCAACAAAAACCAAACCAAACACAAACTTTTTCAAGCAAAACTTGTTAATTGCACTTCACACGTTCTGTAGATACCACGTGTTTGAAGGTTATGTCAATACAAGTCAACGCCAAGCAAGATTTTAAAGGAATGTTTAAAAACTACATTAATTATTACTAGATACTCTATTGAATTTCCAAGTGTACAATATATTATCATGGACTATAGGTACAATGTCATACAGCCAATATCTAGATTCCATAACAAATCAGTTACAATAAGTACTCTTAGAATTTGAAGAAGAAAAAAAGTCTTAGAGAAAAATTTGGAGTTAACACAGAATTGGGATGTTTAAGACAGTGTTTCCTGGATCTTGCAGGGCAAGGGCGCCCCAGCTGATTTCTGAGCTATACATTTTTGCTCATGTTTTGCTTTTGAGAAATTCTGCAGATATTTTATGCTTTTACATGTGTGCATAAACATATGAACATATGTCATTTTACTAACTTTATCCATTTCATAAGCACTTCTTCAATAAACCTTGCTGACTTTTTTTTTTTCCTATTTCTCTCTCTTTTTAAAAAAACAACAACATATTTTTATTGATTTCAGAGAGAAGGGGAAAGGGGGGAGAGAAATAGAAATATCAATGATGAGAGAGAATCATTGATTGGCTGTCTCCTGCATGCCCCCTACTGGGGATCAAACCCACAATCCAGGTATGTGCCCTTGACTAGAATGAAAACCAGAATCCTTCAGTCTGCAGGCTGATGCTCTATCCTCTGAGCCAAACCAGCTAGGACCTGACCTGTTTTTTTCAAATCTGTTTTGATTTCCTCATAGTGCTGTTAAAAATATACATACAGCCAAAACCGGTTTGGCTCAGTGGATAGAGCGTCTGCCTGCGGACTGAAAGGTCCCAGGTTCGATTCCCGTCAGAGGCATGTACCTTGGTTGCAGGCACGTCCCCAATAGGGAGTTTGCAGGAGGCAGCTGATCGATGTTTCTCTCTCATCGATGTTTCTAATTCTCTATCCCTCTCTTCCTCTCTGTAATAAATCAATAAAATATATTTTTTAAAAGAAAATACATACATACACATACAAACCAATAAACTTGCTTTATCCTCTCTTGTTTAGGAATATGACAAGTCTGAAGATACACCTGAGGAGGTAGCTACAGCGGGACAGGTGTGTTCCCATGGATGATTCAAGCCTGTCCAGCACTATTGATGTAGACAAGGGCTTTGCCATTGCCTTTGTTGTTCTTCTGTTTATTTTCCTAACAGTGATGATTTTTCGATGTGCCAAGTTAGTGAAGAATCCCTATGAGGCCACTTCACAACCACAGGACCATCTCTGAGCTGAATTATGAAAAAGCCTGGTAGACTCCCCCTCACAGGAGAGTCAAAATCTTTTATACAGACTATTGTGATCCAGATTTTATATTATTTTACCTCCCTGTTCCTCCGTCATCTCACTCCTGCATTCCACAATAGGCACATGAGTGTGAATTAGGAATACTAAAAAGGATGAAACATAAGCCAGTTTGCAATGGTTATAAAAGTGGGACAGAGCTGAAACCGGTTTGGCTCAGTGGATAGAGCATCTGCTTGCAGACTGAAAGATCCCAGGTTTGATTCCGGTCAAGGGCATGTACATTGGTTGTGGGCACATTCCCAGTAGGGGGTGTGCAGGAGGCAGCTGATCAATGTTTCTCTTTCATCGATGTTTCTAGCTCTCTATCCCTCTTCCTTCCTCTCTGTAACGAATCAATAAAATATATTTAAAAAAATAAAATAAAATAAATAAAATAAAAATAAAAGTGGGACAGAGACAGATTGAACTCATTCATTAAACTAAGGTAATGGGTGGCAATGATAGATCAATAAGGAATTATTATCCAAAATTTACAAAGAAATCAACATTCAAAAAATATCCAGTTAAAAATGGGCAAAGGACCTGAATATTACACCTCTCTGAAGAGGACATACAGATGGCCAATAGACAAATGAAAAGATGCTCAAGGTCATTGACCAACAGGGAAATGCAAATTAAAACCATAAGATATCACCCAGCAGGTGTGGCTCAGTGGTTGAGGTTTGACCTATGAACCAGGTCACGGTTCGATTCCAGTCAGGGCACATACCCAGGTTGTGGGGTTCATCCCCAGTGTGAGGCATGCAAGAGGCAGCCAATCAATGATTCTCTCTCATCATTGATATTTCTTTCTCTCTCTCCCTCTCCCTTCCTCTCTGAATTCAATAAAAATTATATTTTAAAAGATAAAACCATGAGCTATCATCTCACACCTGTCAGAACAGATATCACCAATAAATCAACCAACAAGTATTGGTGAAGATGTGCATTGTTTGTGGGATTGCAAATTAGTGCAGCCACTATGGATAACAGTAAGGAGGTCCTCAAAATATTAAAAATAGAACTATCTTATAACTCAGCAACTCCAATTCTAGGAATTTATCTGAAGAAACCCCACAACACTAATTTAAAAAGAGACATGCACCCCTATGTTCATTGCAGCAGTATTTATAATAGCCAAGATATGGAAGCAACCCTAGTTACCCATAATAGGCAAGTGGGTAAAAAGTGGTGGTACTTATATACAATGGAATATTAGTAAGCCATAAAAAAAATTATCATTTGTGGCATCATGATGGACCTAGAGGGCATTATGCTAAGTGAAATAAAAGACAAATACCCTCTGATTTCACTTACATGTGGAATCTAAAGAACAAAATAAATGAAAGAAAAAAACAGATTTATAGATGCAGAAAACAAAATGACAGTTATCAGAGGTGAGGAGGGATTGGAGCCCTGGGTAAAAAAGTAAAGCTTAGCCCTGACCATTTTGGCTCAGTGGACTCAAGAGTCTCAAGTTCAATTCTGGTCAAGGGCATGTATAATACCTTGGTAGCGGGCTCATTCCCAGTAGGGGGTGCACAAGAGGCAGCTGATTGATGTTTCTCATCCATATTTCTAATTCTCTCTCCCTCTCCCTTCCTTTCTGTAAAAAATCAAATATTTATACACACACACACACACACACACACACATATTTAAATCTGCTTTAAAAAAAAAAGTAAAGGGCTTAGCAAGTATCAATGTGTAGTTAGAAAACAGTCATAGGATATAAAATACAGCATAGGGAATATAGTAAAAATAAATAAATAATAAGGTCATGGGTTTCAATTCTCCAGTATCTAATGTCTTTACGACAAGACAGTTGGCCATAATTTTATGATGTAATATAATATCATGATGCTTTGTAAGGTGCACCTAAAACTAGAAGCCCTCCTAGAGGCGGTCCTAGGAAGTCCCTTTATTATACAAACGTAAGGCCAGCAGGAACCTGCTGTACTATGATGAGAATCTAACAGGACCTTTTTAGTGACTGAGGTTTTATAAAATCTGTGGCCCTTATCATCTGGGCAAAGCTCTATGGTAGAAGTGAATTAATTTGCCCTGGTTGAATTTCTTAGTCTCTCTCAGCTCAAATTTCCTCATCTATAAAATAACATTTGGTGGGTTGAAAAGAGACCCTCAAAAAGATGTCCATGTCCTCACCCAAAACCTATCAATGTGACCTTATTTGGAAAAAGGGTCTTTGCAGATATAATTAAGGATCTCAAGATAAACTCATCCTGGATTATCCAGGTGAGCCCTAAATCCAATGACTAGTGTCTTTATAAAAGACAGAAGAGAAGAAGGCACAGGAAGACAGAGGAAAAGACCACGTGGAGATGGAGACAGAGATGGAATCATTCAGCCACAGCTAAAGAACCCATGCCTGGAACAACCAAAATTGGAAGAGGCAAGGAAGGATTCTCTCCAGAGCCTTTGGAAGGAATACGGCCCTGCCAACACCTTGATTTTTAACTTCTAGCCTCCAGTACTGAGAAAATAAATGTCTGTTTGGTATAGCTGCTATCTACCGAGTTTCCCTGAAAATAAGACATCCTCCGAAAATAAGACCTAGCGCATGGAAAGATAAGACATCCCCTGAAAATAAGACCTAGCGCAACTTTGGGAGAAAAATTTAATATAAGACACTGTCTTATTTTCGGAGAAACAGGGTAGTTTATAGTAATATGTTATGATGATCACAGGAAGCTAATATACAACACATGATGCTGATGATGACAAATATGCAAAAAATTCCTAGACACTGCCTTGTATCCCAATCCTTCCTTCCAGAGATAACTGCTGTTAATTTGTTTTTTCATATATGTGTGTCTTTACATTTTCTTTTTCTTTTTAATGTAATATGTGTGAATAAGTTACATGTTTTCATGTTTCAGAATTCAAAAAGTATAAAATAGTGTGCAGTGAAAACCCTCCCTCCAGTTCTTGCCTCCACCCTCCATTTGCCCTCTTCAATGACAGCCAGTGTTAATTTCTTGTCTCCTTCCAGTGATATTTTATGTAATGTAAAAAAAAATATGTATTTTTTTCCATAATTTACCCAAACCATAGGGTGTTATATAAATGTTCTGCACCTACTTTTCTCATTTAATGTCTTGAATATCACGCCATATGGATGCACAAAGAGCTTCCTGAGCTTTTTTTTTTAATCCTCACCTGAGGATATGTTTATTGATTTTAGAGAGAGAGGAAGTGAGCGAGAGAGAAACATGGATCAGTCAGTTGGTTGCCTCCTGAATGCGCCATGACTGAGGCTCAAACCCACAACCTTTTGGTGTACGACGCTCTAACTAATTGAGCCACCTTGCCAGGGCAAGCTTCCTTATGCTTTAAATAAAAAACACAGCTAAAAAGTCCTGGCCAGCCGAAACCGGTTTGGCTCAGTGGATAGAGCGTCGGTCTGTGGACTGAAGGGTCCCAGGTTTGATTCCAGTCAAGGGCATGTACCTTGGTTGCGGGCACATCCCCAGTGGGGGGTGTGCAGGGGGCAGCTGGTCAATGTATCTCTCTCATTGATGTTGCTAGCTCTCTATTCCTCTCCCTTCTGTGAAAAATCAATAAAATACATTAAAAAAATAAAATAAAAATCAATAAATAAAAATACACATTTTTATGTTTTACTTGTAAATTGTAGATCTGACAACATTGTAACTATCACACAGGACAAAAATTAGCTAGAGCTAATAACTGGCAACTGCTTCCTGTAGGTGAGATATATATTTCCCAGGTAGCCACAGTTTTCACTCAAACCATTTTGCTCCTTTACGTTATTTTCCTAATGCCTGAATCCTCTTGAGGTTTTTAATCCCTCTCTTCTTTTGTTTTGATTCTGAGATCACTCAGCAACCTTTAGTTTATTATCTAATTTCCCTTAAGTCTGTCTTCAGGGAAAGAGTCATTTGGCATTCCAAGGGTTTGGCCCTGTGCTATAACATCTCATGTTCTAGTATTAAGTAGCATGTGGTTGTGATTTTTCAATGTATCCCAGTGGGTTATAGAAATGAATGTGCTTAGCACACCCAACATGAGTATTCCAAATGGTGAATCAGTTATTTATTATATTATATGATATTATTAAACTGGCAATGAAGTGTCTATCTTCATAATTTTTTAATTTTAATAATGTGAGGCATTTATAATAGGGCCTGAATCTCTGGCCCTATTATAAAAGTGCCTGGCATATAGTCTTCAGAACCTAATAAAAACAAAGCCAGAGCTTGGTTCCCTAAATATCGAGGCTCTGTCCTAGACAGGATTACACAGGTCAAACCTGCCTTTCCTACAGTGAGCAGGTCTTATTAAAAATCAGATTCTTGCTAAAACCGGTATGGCTCAGTGGATAGAGCTTCGGCCTGCAAACTGAAAGGTCCCAGGTTCCATTCCGGTCAAGGGCATGTACCTTGGTTGTGGACACATCCCCAGTAGGAGGTGTGCAAGAGGCACTGATTGATGATTTTCTCTCATCGATGTTTCTAACTCTCTATCCCTCTCTCTTCCTCTCCATAAAAAAATATTTTTTTAAAAAAATCAGATTCTTATTCAGTACACATTTAGTAGCCCAGAGAAAGATTTAGAATCTTTAACAAGTTCTCTGATTGTACTTGAGTTCCACTGCTGATTTCTGCCAATCTGATCACTTCAGCCTTCTCAGGACAATGAAGAAATCAGACTGTAGTATGATGCTCCAAAGAGCTCCTGTTTCTCTTCAACATTCCCCATTTCCACCCCCAAACAACCCACACACACACATCAGGGAGCTGAAAGTAGCTAATCTAACCTAATCTAACCTAATAATAGAGTACTATGCAAATTAACCACCACTTTGTTACGCAAGCCATGCTCAACAGCCAATTAGAGCGAGCATGTAAATTAACCCAACAAATATGGCCATTAATTTGCATACTCAGAGGGAGGGAGGAGTGAAGACTGAAGACAGCATAGAAGGAAAAGGGAAGGAAAGTGGAAAGCAAGGCAGCTGCAGCTACTGGAGGGAAAGCACTGGCAGCGCATGTGGGGTGGGGAGAGGTGCCCAGCAGTGGTGCACATGGTCGAGGAGGACGCAGCAGCGGGAGGCGGTGGGGGCAGCAGGCGAGGCGGGCACAGTG